TAACTTGGTACTGAGTCCCTCTATAAAGAAACTCTTCTAAAATGATCCTCAGTTGAGCACTGCCATCTGTTCTATGTTGGCAGCACCCTAAAAGACAGAAGCAGTTACATCAGGGTCCAACACGTTGCTAACCTGGCAGCCATGGTCAGCTACCTACATCCCAGATAAGAGTTCCCTGAGGAAGGGTAACCTGGACAAAAAGAACTTGCCTTGACACAAACAGTAGATTAGAGGACTAGGCAGTGGGTGCCACCACGCCTTCCTTTGTACATTTCCAAAAGAAAGAAAAACACACCAACTTCCGTCAAGTTGACTGAGACTCAGAGGGACCCAACAGAACAGAGGAGTATTACTCTTTAAGAGTTTCTTCCTTCCTTTCTTTTTTTCTTTAATGTTTACTTTTGCTTTACTGACTATGAGGCATTTGACTATGTGTATAACTATGGGTAACATCTTGAGGAATGGGAATTCTAGAACACTTAATTGTGCTCATAAGGAACTTACATGAGACAACAGAACAAGAGGACAATGAATGGTTTAAAATCAGGAAAGGTGTGCACCAGGATTATATTTTTCACCATATTTATTCAAGCTATATGCTGAGCAAATTAAAAAAATGGATTATATGAAGATTGTGGCATCAGGATTGGAGGAAAATTCATTAACAACCTGTGAAATGCAGATGGCACACACAACCTTGTTTATCCTTAGTTTCTAAGCCTGTGAATCTTTATGGGAGCAGACAGCCTTATCTTTCTCCTGTGGAGAGACTGGTGGGTTTGAACCACTAACTTTGTAGTTAGCAGTCTAATGCTTAACACACTACACCACCAGATTTCCTTCCCTTAAACATCATTGCTAAATGCTATAAGTCGGTTCTGACTCATAGTGACCCTGTATGGGGTTTCCGAGAAGCATCTTGAAGGTCTGAACTACTGACTTTGCAATTACTTATTGTTGTTACGTGCCGTCGAGTAGATTCTGACCCATAGAGACCCTGTACAGGGTTCCTGAGAAGTGGCTGGTAAGCTTGAACCACTGACCTTAACAATCCAGCACATTAACCCCTAGAGACACACCAGGACTCCTTGCAGTAAGTAGTCCAGAGCTTATCCTACAGTACCACATTAGGACTCCTTCTTTATACAGTGGTTGTTGGTGGTTGTATGTCACTGAGTCAGTTCCAAACCTGGTATAGGGTTTCAGAGGCTTAAATCTTTATGAGAACAAAAGCCTCATCTTTCTCCCATGGTACTGCTGGTAGATTTGAACTACGGCCTTACAGTTAACAGTCAAGGCTTCTTCTTTAATAGTGTAGATCAGTGATCGATAAACTTTTTTCTTAAATATGTCAGACAGTAAATAATTTAGATTCTGTATGCCACAAGTTGCTGTCACAACTATTTAATTCTGCCATTGTAGCACAAGAGCAGCCATGAGAAATATGTAAATAAATGAGCATGGTTCTGTTCAATAAAACAAGTAAACAAAATAAATACTATTTACAAAATAAAACTGATTATAGTTTGCTGACCCCTACTTTAGACCAACATTCTATAATAAAATATAATGAAAGATACATAATTAATAAATTTCCAACAGTCACATTACAAAAGTAAAGACATATATAAAATCAATTTTCCAAAAGGTCACAACATTAAAAACACTATAGAATTGTTCTACTCTGCACACAAGAGGTCACCAAGAGTCAGAATAAAGTTGAAAGCAACTTACACCACTACTATTACAGGTGAAAAAGCAGATTTAATCCAACTATTAGAAAATGTGAAGTTGCAAAAATTTTAAATTATATAACTTTCATTATATTTTATTATAGAATGTTGGTATAAGGTAGGGGTCAGTTAATGAATTTTTTAATTAAATGAAATTAAATAACATTTAAAATTCAGCTCTGAGTCATTATTTGAAGTGGGAGTCCTGGTGTGGTGTTGTGAGTTGAAGTGATGGATTGCAAGGTCTGTTTGAACTGTAAGCTTAACGGTTCAAGCTCACCAGCTGCTCCTTGGAAACCCTATATATAGGATCATTATGAGTCAAAACCAACTCAAAGGCACTTAACAACAATGCGGCGCTGTAAGATAAGCACTGGACCATAAGGTGAGTTTGAATCTCAAGGTTGGTGTTTAAACTCACCAGCCACTCCCTGGAAACTCTATTCTGTGGGAGAAAAATGGGGCTATCTGTTCCAGTAAAGATTGACAGTCTTGGAAACCTTATATAGGGTTGCTAAGAGTTGGAATCAAATAAGACAGCAGCAGGTAGTAGTGGTTACAGCCACATGAGCATTGGGCACATCTGCTGTAAAAGACCTCTTTTAGTGAAGCGTCCAGCTGATAAGAAGAGAGGGCATATGCATAAGAACACCCACACTTGCAGATAATACCCACTTGACTTGGCTTCAATGCCTGGATGATCAGAGCTCAACTAGAAGAAGAAAAGAAGAGGAAAAAAAAGAGTAATCTGATATAATTTGATGAACTTGACCTACACCTATGGATGCAGTAGCTCAAAAGAGGGAACAAATCTTTACAGTGAGTATCATTTCCACCACCTCCATACACAGAGTAGACAGGGATGGGCAACTTAGACATTGGCTACCCAAAATAGGGGTGACTGACTTACAAGCTTTCAAGAGGGAACCTAGATCCAGAGGGTGCGGAGGAAGGTAGAATCTCCACTGAGTAGTATCCAATCTGTCTAGGTGGGGCTGATGAAAGGAGATGGGATAGGTCCCTTGTGATACAATGCTGTATAATTGTTATCAAGACTGACTGTGAGGGTTGGGACTATAAAGGTAGATGTTTTATAGGAAAAGGAAGGGAGGTCCCTGGAACCATCAAGGGAGAAGAGTGGAGAGCGGGACCCTACCCAGAGAAGCAGTGACACCAGAGATGGAGGCAGAGACAATGATGTGGTAAGATGGAGTGGCTGGGGACTCTAGACCCAGAGAGGGAGAGGGGCTGTGTGCTGACAACCGGGGGTAGGCTTGCAGGGGATATCCTTTGGTTGAGTGATGATGCATGGAAGGGATTGTAACCATGGCAATGAAACGATATACGATAGGATGAATGTAAAGCTAATGTTCTCCCATGTAAACTATCACATAATTCACAATAAAACATTAAAAAAAAAAAAAAAAAAAGACCCCCCTTAAATGTTAAAGAGCAAAGATACCACTTTAAAGACGAAAGTGCACCTGACACAATCCATGGTATTTTCAATTGCTCTACTGAGATGCAGAAGCTGGGCAATGAATAAAGAAGACTGTAGAAGAACTGAAACCTTTAAATTATGGTGTTGACCAAGAATATTAAACATATCATGGACTGCCAGATGAATAAACAAATCTCTTGGAAGAACCACAGCCAGAATGCTCCTTAAAAGCGAGGAGGAGCTTCATCTCACATGCTTTGAACATGTCATGGAGAGGGAATAGTCCCCAGAGAAGGACATTATACTTGGTAGAGCAGAGGGTCAGCAAAAATACGGAAGACCCACAAGGAGATGGACTGATATGGTGGCTGCAACAATGAACTCAAAAACAGAAATGACTGTGAGAATGGTGCAGGACCCGGAAATGCTTCATTCTGTCGTATACAGTGTCACTATGAGTTAGAACTGACTTGATGACATGTAACAATGACAACAAGAGCCACGTGGATGAAAAACTCTGGTGGTGCCATGCTTGGCTGCTAACTGATCAGCTGCTGCTTAGGAGAAAGATGGAACCGTCTGCTCCCATAAAGATTACAGCCTTGGAACACTGTGCAACAATCTATTCGGTTCTATAGGGTCACTATGAATGAGAATCTATTGCATTGCAATGGGTTTTGGTTTTACAGCCCCATGCAGCTCGTGGATACCACCTCAACCACATTAGAGATAACATGAGGCTAAATATGGTTTCCAAGAGGGGTTAGGGAGAACTGAAGTAACTTGTTTCCTCTGCCTTTGTCATCTAAACTCAGGACAGTCTATAGAACAGCAACCTCTACTCCAAAAAGCTCATTTTCTCCGTATCCTTGCCTTACAGCCTTAGGTGACTTTCTAGACTTCACCCTTGCCCAAGGTGGACATGAGCATGCATTCCTGTGCTGACATTTCAGGCCCCCTTGTACTGTGGCACTCGTTAGACCCATTTGTCTCCCTCTGAATTCACATTCTGGACTTTGTTATTGCCATCCTGAGCTACATTGTTCTACAGGCCTCCCAGCAACAACATCATCAAAACCTGCTTGTTCTAAACTGTTCTCTAAATTACTACATTTAGTTAAGCCAGCAAAATTAACTGTGCAGCTATAACTACCCTTAGCTACACACCCCTCATCAGTCAATGGCAGGTCCCCTTTCCTTCCTTATTTATCCAACTTGGGCTGTCCCCTTCTTACATACTCTGTATTCTAACTGGAATTCAGTAAATTGAGAAGATATTAGAACCGTTGTTGCTGTTGTTATGTGCCATCGAGCTGGCTCTGACCCACAGCAACCCAGTATAGGGTTTCTGAGGAATGGCTGGTGAGCTTCATTGAACCGCTGACCTTGTGGTTCAAACCAACTTTGCAGCCCAGTACATTAACCCACAGTGCCACTCCAGGATTCCATTCAGAGATTAGAAATAAACAGAAGCATACTCACTCACACTCCTGAATAACCAATACTTTGGTAAACTAAAAGACAACTGCATGATCTTGGTAATTTATCAAAACTCCCAGAGTTACAAGATAGATTATATTTAAATAAATGAGAAAAATGCTTACAAATTTCTTTCCACATAGCTGAAGGATTCGTGTGATTTTCAGGTCCTTTCTTTTTAGATCCATACCTTTTGCCCTCTAAAGTTCTGGAGTTGAATTTGTATCTATTTTCTAAACACGCTGTTTCTGAACCTATTTACAATTAAAACAAAAATTCATTAAAACTAATAGAACACGTTCATTTTTAAAAGGTGATCAGCAAAGAAGCATTTTAAAAAATAAAACCTGAGTCTTCATTTCTCAAAATATCCTGCAGCAAAGAAGCGCAACCATCAAGCCCCTGCACAGTTTCAATCTGTAACGAGAAAATCATTTAGAACACTTTTGTATAGAAAATTTTAGTGCAGGAAAAACAATATATAACTTTGAAGATTCCTCACTTATAAGGATTAGTTATTGGTAGAAAATGTGTTTTAAAGCAGCAAGCCTTCATATTTCCTTGTTATTAGCTACTGCCAAGTTAGCTCTGACCCATGGCAATGCCATGTATAATGGGCTCAGATAATCAGGTTCTCATAGGCTGAGTTTTGGAAGTACATCACCAAGCTTTCTTCCTAGACTAAGTCTAGAAACATTGTTAAAACTTGTTTAGCCTCACAGATACACATCAGCCAGCACTGGCAGACAGGTACACTGGCAGGGAACTGAACCTCAGTCTCCTATATGGAAGACCAGAACTCTACCATTATCACTACTCACTGCCATAAACCAATTAAACTCTATCTTTGTATTTTATTACCACTTCTTAGTTTTCAACTTAAGACTAATTAGTGTGCATTGGGTCTATTACACTTAAACTTACCTGATTTTCCAAATCAGAGTGGTTGGGACAGCCAGAATCTGCATTAAAACGTGACACTTTCCTTAAATGGGTCCTAGAAAAAAAGTTTGTTAATATTCTTACAAATATTAAAAATAGACTTTGTCCCAAAATACATTAAGTAAATAGTCATTTTCTTTTCAGAAAAGGTTGGCCAAGAATGGACTTATATAAAGTTCGTAAAGACTGTTAATCCAAAAATGACTGATCAGGGTGGATGTGAGAGACTCCTCTCCAAAGCTGTTAGGGTGGAGGTCCATTTAGTTCTGAGAAATAGGCCAAAATGTAGTCCAGCCTAAAGACCTAAAAAACCTCTAGGATTTTCTTAAGTTGTAAACTATTTAAGTACTTACCCTTTCTTCCCATTTGTTAATTTAGCAGGTCCAGTGTGTCTTCCTGAAGATAATACCTATGACATAATGCATTACACTATAGTAAGTATACAAATACTTTTATTTTCAATGAGTTGTCTTGACAGAATGTTATTTCTTATAGATGTGCTGTTGTTGTTGTTACTAGGTACGACAGAATCAGTTCTAACTCATACTGATCCCATGTAGAACACAACGAAACACTGCCCAGTCCTGCACCATTCTCACAATCATTGGTCTATTTGAGCCGTCACTAAGACATACCCTGAAAATTCACTTACAATTTCACTTTTACAATAAACTATTTGTTCTATATAAATGTCAAGCAAACAATACATATTTTTGATCCTTGTCTATTGAAGCTAAGGAAATTGAGATTTAACAAAAATAATTACTACAGTAAATTGGGACTATAATTTCTATAAATTTGTCAAAAATACAAGTTTATTAATATATAGGCCAAAGTTTATGACTCTTTACCCCTTTTATCCAAGTTCTTTAGAATACCTAAAAAGGCCTACACATGGAAACCATCACTCCTCTTCATCCACATCTCATCCCTTCTTTTTAAACTCATATAGCAGTTTTTTTAAATGTTTTATTGTGAATTATGTGATAGTTTACAAGGGAGAACATTAGTTTTACATTCATCCTATCATATATCGTTTCATTGCCACGGTTACAATCCCCTCCATGCATCATCAACCAACGAAATAGTATAACCTACAAGCCTGATACCCCACCCCCCACCCCCGGTAATCAGCACACAGTTGCTCTCCCTCTCTGGGTCTAGAGTCCCCAGCTGCTCGCTCCATCTCTCCACATCACCTCAGGCATCACTGCTTCTCTGGGTAGGGTCCCGCTCTCTGCTCTTTTCCCTTGATGGTCCCAGGGAGTTAATCACTCCCCTCTTTGCTACAAAACGTCTACCTCATTTGCAACCCTCATAATCAGTCCTGATAACTATTCACTATTGTATCACAAGAAATCTATCTGCATTTCCTTTCATCAGCCCCGCCTAGACAGACTGGATACTACTCAGTGGAGATTCTATCTTCCTCCACATCCTCTGGATCTAGGTTCCTCTTGAAAGCTCCATATACTCTGGATCTAGGTTCCTCTTGAAAGCTTGATAGGTGTAGGTCAAGTTCATCAAATTGTATCAGATTACTCTTTTTTTCTTCTTCTTTCTTCTTCTAGTTGAGCTCTGATAATCCAGTCATTGAAGCCGCAAGTGTGGGTGTTCTTGTGCATATGCCCTCTCTTCTTATCAGCTGGATGATTCACTCTCCATTCTAGTCCTCTGTGGCTATGTCACTGACTCTGGGCCCAAGAGTCCCCAGGTCTTGCCACACTACTGGCCAACCAGTTCTCTACCCGCGTTCACAGGAGTCTATTGAATGCTGTAGGGCTTAGCTTGCAGCTGTGTTGCTGTTTTTCCCTCAATTCCCCTTATCGATGACGAACATGGTCACGAATCAGAGCGTGTATTCCCGTTGAGTCTTACTCTTGGATGGGTGTTTGCACTGAGGGGACCTGGACAAGCAACTTGCTTGTTCTTGTAGTAACAGTCAGTCTGCCTATATTGTTTTGTATTTTTCCTGTAGGTCTTTCTTTTAAGAAGTGTGTTCTGTTCTTCTAGCCTTTCCAGGCTGGTCGGCTCATTCTTTCAAGTGGCAATTTCACACCTCTGAAGATTCTGGATGTGGTTCAGGATTCCACCTATAGTCTTATGTAATGCAGAGGCTCCACAGGAAGCCTCCTTCACTGGGCATGTTGTAGCCCCATTTTAGGTATTCCAATCAGTTATAGGCAGAAGACAGACTTACAAGATTTCTATGGTGATATTTCTGGCTATTCCTTTCTCTCCCACCTCAAGTGTCTATTTTAAAATATAATGCAAGGAAAACCAAGATTCGTAAGACAGCCAAGCATCTTAACATTATTTCCCCCTTTTCCCCATTCCAACCATGTCTCAATCCCTATGTCCCAGAGCCCTGTTGTTTCAAGGTTGTGCATGCATCATTATTTACCTCAGTCCCACTTAGCCCATGCAAACCTGCCTAACAGTTCTCCCATCTACTTTATTCTTCCATCCCCCTCTCCCTTCTTGTATATTGCCCCCCTACCCAATACCCAAACTATCCTGTGTCTATTCCCTGCCCTGTGCTCCACCCCCATATCCTAGCAACCATCAAAGAATCCTCCCCAACTTTAGTACAGGTTATTTTTCTTAGTCTTTTACAGTAGTGGTCCTATGCAGTATTTCTCCTTTTGTCACTGAATAATTTCACTCAACATAATGTCCTCAAGGTTCATCCATGTTATGCGGTAGCTTGCAGCTTGTTATTTTTCAAGGTTAGCATAGTATTCCATTTTGAGTATGTACCACAGTTTATCTATTCTTCAGTTGATGGGCACTTTGGCTGTCTCCATTAGCAATTGGGAAAAAAAAAAAAAAAAGACCTATTTTAAAGGTAATGTAAAAGGGATACCTTTTACATAGAGAAAAATGAAAAATATGTATTTGCTTGTATATGCGTGACACTGTGGGTTAATGCACTGGACTGAAAAGTTGGTTTGAACTGCAAGGTCATCAGTTCAAACTCACCAGCTGCACCTCAGAAACCCTGAAAAGCATTGCAATGGGTCGGGACTGACTCTACAGCACATAACAGCAGTAACACATTTTCTTAGGAGTTCCCTAAGAACAAGAAATACAGTCAGTCTCTGGGGAAGGACACTGAGCCCCTGGTGGTGCATATAATTAAGCATTCAGCCACTACCTGAAAGTTTGGTGGTTCAAATCCACCCAGAGGCACCTCAGAAGAGACATCCTGGGGATCTACTTCCAAAAGGTCAGAGCCTTAAAAATACTATGACTATGGAGTACAGTTCTATTCTGATACACATGGGGATAACATAAGTAGGAATCAACTCCACAGCAACTTTTTATTTGGGGGTGGAGCAATAAAGGAGACTCTTCACAGTATATCTTCTCATATTTTAACAATTTTAAATCCAGTAAATCTCAATTCAAAATATAATTTTTAAAAGACATGAGTTAAAGTCCCTAACTCACCTTCCTTTTTACACTCTCCACAGATGACCAATTAAGCAGTTGCGTTTATAATTTTACTTGACATGTTTACATATTTCATCCAAAGACAGCAGCAACTACCAAACTTTCTGGAGTTATGTAATATCCTATTATTTGCTTGAATACATGAAATGTATTCCCTCCTAAAATGCTATTGAAAATTCATTAAAATAACTAGACAGAGTTACAATTCTCCTTGAGATAATACAGAATTTGACAGAGGGACTTGAAGCCCACAGCAAGACCCAACATCATGGAAATAAAAGCCCATGTAAATGAGCTCTGCTTGTTTCTATATCACACTCTTGGTGTCTTTTCGTTTGGTAGGTATATCTATGTTGGCACCCTAGTGGACCAATAAACAACATTGTTATCAACAGAGAAAAGATTAAAGTTGTCAAGGACTTCATTCTTCTTCGATCAACTATCAACACTCACGGAAGCAGCAGTCAAGAAATCAAGCAATGTATTACATTAGGCAAATCTGCTGCACAAGACCTTTTTAGTGTTGAAGAGCAAAAAAGACGTCAGCTTGAGGACAAA